ACAGGGACCCTAACCCCAGGGAATATGGAAGGCTAACTCTACAGAGCAGTGGTTCTCAGCCTGTGGTTCCCCAGATGTTTTTGTCTTTAACTCCCAGAAATCCTAATAGCTGGTAAACTGGCTGGGATTTCTAGGAGTTGTAGGCCAAAATCTCTGGGGACCCACAGGTTGAGAACCACTGCTATAGAGAATGATGTGTGATTGATTTAATATGAACATATATGCCAACGTTTTTTTTTTAAGTATTTGGAAGATATGTTGACATGTATATACTGATGCATGCCATTTTCCTGGATCACAAAAGTGCGCATAATCCTGATTGGATGTGTTATTACATACACAGAACTTTTGACTAATGACTTACTCCCTTGTAGATACAGTGCAAGCACGTTACACAGACACAGGGGTGTAACCTTGTATTGTTCTATTTAAGACACAGACAACATAAGAAGCACCTTTCATAACAGAGTTCATCTAAGGGTACATCTACACTGTAGAATTAATGCCGTTTGACACCACTTAAACTGACATGGCTCAATCATGTGGAAGCCGGAGTATTTTAGCATAGTGAGGCATTAGCACTCTTTGGCAGAGAAAACTAAAAATCTTGGAAAACTGCAGATCCCATGATTCCATAGCACTGAGTCATGGCGAAGTGATATCAAACTGCATCAATTGTATACTGTAGCTACACCCACTGTGGATAAGCAGCCATATGCTGTAAGCACTTGTGGTCAAAGAAGAACACGCCACATCTGAGCATCATAATTTACACGCTCTCCATCCTTAATATAAAGCTCTTTCACTACGCAATTATAGCCCTATGATTCCATTTTAATCACTATGGCAATATGTTATGAAACTCTGGAGTTGTAGTTTGGAGAGACACAAGAGGCCTTTGGCTAAGAATTCTTAACAATCTCCCTAAACTACAAATTGCAGGATTTCATAGGATTTTGCGATAGCCGTTAAAATGAATTAGTGCTACAATTGTGTGGCATGGAAGATCTTTAATCTCAGGTTGCTAATTGCCAGTAGGTAAAAAGTCATAGCTATATAGACATGTTTAGACAATTTACATTCATTACATTCATTATGATCAACAGCACTTTGGTTTACATGATTAGATTCAAACTTTACAAAGAGGAACATCTCTTTTACTCTCACCCCACTGAAACTTAGAAGTATGTGAAATAGCCTGTTTATACCAATATTTCAAGCCGACCTCTGACTTGTCTCCACACTGTATCGGAAGATGGAGTGAGTTGAAGAGGTATCGAAGAAAAGGGGAAAACTGGCAGGATTTGGGATTTTGCTATACTTCTCATCCTTGAAGAAATAGCCACTTAGACAATTGCAGGATTAACCAGAAGCCTTGAATTTTACAGTTTAACAATGCTGCTTTGGCATAATATAGTACTGAACACATCTACATGTCCGAGTTTAATAATCATTCAGAGTTCCAGGGAACTGAAATCACAGGTCTCTAAATATATATACTCCTTGTGTGTGTGTGTGAATATATATACTCAGTATCCCAAGCTAAGTAAAATTACTACGATTCTCTGGGGAAGCCATAGTGATTTAAAACTATGCTAATAGTTCATTTAAACCAGCATTTGTCAACCTGGGGGTCAGGACCCCTGGGAGGGGTCATGAGGTGGTTTCAGAGGGATCGCCAAAGACCATCAAAAAATATATATTTCTGATGGTCTTTGGAACCCCTTTGTCAGAAAAGGCTGAAGATCTCTCTGCCTGTCCTTCCCTTTCTTTTTGGAAACAGACTGCAAATTCTCCCATCAAAAGCTCTCCTCTGCTGTGATTTGTTGGCCTCACAGTGAAGGGGAGGGCTGTTACTGAGACTCCAAGCAGGGAGGAGAGAGCAGGCATGCACAACACATGGCAGCGTGGTGCGCATGTGCAGGCAACGGAGAGCGTGTAAGGCTGGAGGGAGGTTCATGCCAGTGAGTCCCTTCAAGGCATGGGGTTCTGTGTGGGAGGTATTGATCACCCAGCTTCCCCTATTGTTGCTAGTGTGACATGGGAAACCTCCTGTGTTGCCACTGCAGTGGCATATCCCACTTCCGAAATATCCCCTCCTTGAGATTAAATATCCATTAGTTTAATTATTCTACAATGAAAAAGATTTTATTCTATTGTTGGGGTTCAGAATGCTCTTTGATTGTAGGTGAACTATAAATCCCAGCAACTACAACTCCCAAATGACAAAATCAATCCCCCCAACCCCACCAGTATTCAAATTTGGGCGTATCAAGTATTTGTGCCAAATTTGGTCCAGCGAATGAAAATGCATCCTGCATATCAGATATTTACAGTACAATTCATAACGGTAGCAAAACTACAGTTATGAAGTAGCAATAAAAATAATTTTATGGTTGGGGGTCCCCACAACATGTGGAACTGTATTAAGGGGTTGCGGCATTAGGAAGGTTGAGAAACTCTGGTTTTAACCCAAAAATTGTTTGCAATGGTGGGAAGTCTTTTTGAATGCAACATTACTCCTTGCAGTGGTGCCACTCAAGTGATGAGGTTTTGTTTTTAATCTGAATTTTAAAGGAACACTCGAAGGTGCTGAACCCTGTTTTTAAAGTATGTTCACCATGTTGGCTACATCTTTTAAAAACTGGACTAAAATTAAAAACAACTCTGCCACCTTACTGACATGGAGGTGACCAACTGATTTTGCATGTAATTGAGGATTGTCATTTCTTCCTAAGGATATTTACATGACTTTCAAATGTAATTACAGTCCAACCCCCTTATCCAAGGATTCGATATCCATGGTTTCATTTGCCCACATTTCAGATAATAGTCCCAGTCACTCCAAAGTGTTTGTGGGCCTCCTTAGATCTTGCAGTGTGGTTCTATGATATGCTTCAAGACAAAGCAGAGTAAAAATAAAGGATTAGCTATTATCCATAATTTCAGGTAACCACAGAGGAATGTATCCCTTGTAGATATGGGGGTCTAAGGCCCCATCTACACTGCCATATAATGCAATTTCAAACTGCATTATATGGTCAGTGTAGATAAGGCCATACTGTACCACAATCCTAAACATATCTATTCTGAAGAAAGAGTCACTGAATTCAGCAGATTTTATTCCTAGGTGAGTAAATATATATATATGTCTCATGGTTCAAAGACACTATATAAAATTCACTTTTTTAATAAATAAGGCAACTTATGGAACTCAGTGTTAAAATTCTTATTTACAAATGCTTTAAAGAGCATTGAGAGCCAGGCAAGCTGCTTTCTTGGGAAGCGCAGTCCTCAGGAACCCCCAACCAACATGGTCATTATCTTCATTCAGATGAGCTGCCGGAATCGCCATGCATTGTGGAAAATCTGGTGGTGCCCGATGGGGGTTATGGGGAACCATTGGGTACCCCTTACCCTGCACTGCCTGACTTCGGCCCTACCTTATCCCATGGGGGAAAGTGTCTGCCACCAGCTTCCCCCTGTTGACTGCAATTGAACATGGGAAATCTCCTGTGTTGTGGCCACTGTGATATGCAGCGGTTCCTTAATAGTTTTACAACTGAGCCCCGCCAGAGGTAGTTTTATGTCATGGGATGGAAGCCGGCGGGTTCCATCATAAAACTATTGAGAAACTGTAGAAAATAGCCCAGTCTGATGAAGTTGCAAAATGAGATCCTCAGATCTGATCCATGGGCCACTTGTTCTCCAGCTGACTCAAAAATGCCTTCAAAAATGACTCAAAAATGCCTTCAAAAATGACTCAAAAATGCCTTCTACCATCTTCTTCTATTGGTCTCATTTATCAGTGATAAAAAAGCAAGTTGTTTAAAACCTGAGAGGCCCTTGAATTAAACTGAGCTATTGCCACATATGGAACTGAGCTCTGATTGTTAGACTAGTTTGAGACTAGTTCGAGATCAACACTGGTTTTCTACTATTCAAACAGTAAGGAATTTTCTTCTGATGTGCGAATCAAATGTGGACTTTTGCCATACGCCAGATGCTTTCAGTTCAAGGAAGTTGGCAACGGAGATCAATTCCACCACTTAGCTAATAGCCTAGCAATCCTGAAATGTTTTTGTTACTATGCAGGGTCACACGCACATCTCACTATTGTGGGTTTGTATGTGGGTGGGTCTGTCAAACATTGAGAGTCTGGGGATAGCCTTAGAACTTGGAGGAACATAAGGAAAATAACCTAGCCAAGACAACTTTGCACCACATTTTACAAGTTTTTTAAGAATTAACATACTCAGAAATGAAGTGTTAAGTATGACAGTGACAAATTCCCTAGAGCTATGCCCCTAATGCAATTCTTTATTAACTTATATGGGAATAAACCCCCAGCCGAAGTCAGTGGGGCTTACTTCTGAGCAGACATGTACACAATTGCACTAGAAAGCACCCTTATGAGGGTGAAATGCACTGAGTTCAGCTCCTAATTCATATGTTTAAGACTGCTGTTTGGGAGAGTTATTCAGCAACAGAAGTCTCCTACAGTTTACCAGCAAACAAATTGTGTGATTTCTTTACAAAGCAATCCTTGGGTCACATGTTATGCATTCAAACATTCCAATAAACCATTGTTGATCATGAGGGAATAAGCCTAGATAAGCTAGGATTGTAGTTTAGCTTTCACCTGGAAATAATGTGAAATGACTCTGAGCATATTTTTTGATATTAGCCAGCTTTTTGAACCCATGGTTTTAAGCTGAAATATGTAAACAAAGTATAGTCAAGATTCGTTACTGTCACAACCTCTGAGGATGCCTGCCATACATGCAGACGAAATGCAGGAGAGAATGCTTCTAGAACATGGCCATATAGCCCGAAAAACCTACAACAACCCAGTGATTCCAGCCATGAAAGCATTCGACAATATATAGTCAAGACCATCCACAGTGTACTAGGATTTGAGAAATGGAAGTGAAAAGCAGAAGCAGCCTTCTAAAATCCTTTGTTGCAGCTGTGTTGGATGAGAGAAAGGAGCATATATATTTGCAGGTTGACTGGGCCCATTTTAATGACAATAAATCATGGCGTATTGTGACACTAAAGGCAACAGTGATGTGGTGGGGCTGAAGCTATATCTCTCCATCTAATGACATGGTTAGGATGGAGCTGTATATCCCCACCGAACGTATTTTCGAAATATATACAGCCATTGCAATGGAACTGGGTTTATGGGGTGCATAAGAATATGCATTGAAATGCCAATCTGCATCCACAGTAGCTAAATGCAAGGATAACTTCTTCCATTTGAGGATAACTTGGCTAGATTGGAATGTAAGCGTAGGTACTATATGTATCCCCCTCTTTCTAGCCGTCTTTTCAGGTCCCCAATTTTAATCTTAAATTAATTAATAGCATCAACATGAAAACACAATCAGAAAAAATGCAACTCTCTATAACACTGATAACATTTAAATACAAACATTCTATTTTCATTATAACATGATGCATGTTATTTATAAGAAGCAGTATTTAAACATTGGACTTGGACTCTGGAAAACCAGAGCTCGAATTCCCACTTAGCTTCAAAAATGTCATAGGTGATCTTGGGCAAGTCACACTCTAATTAGCTTCAGAGGAAGACAATGGCTAATCACCTCTGGATAAATCTTGCCAAGAAAGCCCCATGATAAGTTTGCCCTAGGGGTACTATGCGTCAGAAATTGCATGACTGATGGTCCCAGTGAATCAACTGATGAACAAAACTGATGTAAATGCCATTGATCCAAAGGATTTAAATCTGATTGGTGCTACCAATAAGTTACATGCCTATGTGTACATTAAACAGATTGGGCATCTCTCATCTGGAATTCCAAAATCCTCCAAAATGAAAAAAATGCACAAATGGGTGGTTTAGATAGTGATACCTTTGCCTTCTGATGGTTCAGTGTACATAAACTTTGTTTCATGCCCGGCATTATTAAAAGTATTGTATATACTTAAATTCAATCTATGTGTACAATGTGTATCTGAAACATAAATGAATTCTGTTTAGAACTGGGTCAGATCTCCAACACATCTCATTATCTAGATCCAGATATATTTTAAATCCCCCATCACGCAAAATCCCAAACACTTCTGGTCCCAAGCACTTTTGGATAATGGATACTATCACCAAAGAATCACAAAGTACATTTATGATAGGAAGATCACAGGGTTACTTTTGTAAGTTCATAGTTCCATGATTGCAACGTGCACAAACATACCCATGTACATTAAGGAGCACCAACACATACAAAGGGGGCAAATTAAGAATCTTTCAGTACAGCCTTTCGACAAAATACAGCATGATATCCAGAAGTATGGTTTGACTTAGGCCCCTTCCACACAGCTGAATAAAATCCCACATTTTCTGCTTTGGACTGGAATATATGGCAGTGTGGACTCAGATAACCCAATTCAAAGCAGATATTGTGGGATTTTCTGCCTGGATATTCTGAGTTATATGGTTGTGTGGAAGGACCCTTAAAAGCCCAGAAAACAAGGCTTCTATTAGCTGAAGTGGTAGAAGATGTTCTATACACACAGAAAGCTCCTTCTCAATCCAGAATAGCTCTTATCCACAAAAGACAACTAGCCTGCCAAAATAAGGCTTAAAGAACAGGGCAATCCGACCTGAGTAAGTTAGAATGACCCACAACTAGGATAAAAACAGGACAGAGGACACTTACCACTTAAAGGACTGGATGATGATGGAAAAAACAGAATGGAATGAAATACCATTGCTATTGTAACCATGTATTCATCTACTTAACACCAGTTAGCTCAATTATATAGTTGGAAATATGCTAACCTTTTCTGAACTAGCCCATGCTTTTTAAAAAGTGAAGATAACCCATTTGATTCCACCAATACAAAGTAAGAATCACAGAGGGTCCACAGTGTAACGGCAAAATTAAAAACAAACACCAACGTGGAGGGAGAAATGAATACAAAAATATGCATATATACTTAATTCAAAAGTGTCCATATGGAAAACGTGTCAAAAGAGACCCCCCAAAATAAAAAATAGACTTTAAAGGCATATTCAGGCTAGCTGTTATATACATGGCATTTGGCAGAGATAAGTTTCTGTCAAAGAACTGAGAAATGGATGCTATTCTGCCTTCATCTGTTCCCTGACATCCAAGGGCAGAGTTTCAAACAGGGCATCTTCAACCATGAGACCACTCCTCTTCAGAGCTCTGCAATCACCCAGTTCCTGGGGTAGAACTTCCAGGTGATTTCCTTTAATGTCCAAGTAAGATAGCAACACCAGGTATCCAATTTTAGGAGAAAGGACGGACAAGCTGTTTTTCCCAATCTTCAGCGTCTTGAGTTTTTTGCAGAAGTACAGCTCATCTGGTACACTTTCCACTTTGTTGCAAGTGATTGAAAAGTACTGTAAGCTTTGGAGCACCCCAATTTCAGGAGGAATGAATCGGATGTCATTGTATGACAAGTCTAAGTATCGAATTTTGTTGCATAGGAAAAGGTGGGATGGGAGAACCTCTATCTTGTTGTGACTAAAAGAAAGCCGTTCCAGGCTACCGAGCTTCTTTATATGCTCTGGAATGTAGGTTATACTGTTGTGCCACAACTTCAGGATTGTAAGTTTCCTAAGGTGTTGAAAGCTAACAATTTCCTCGATGGATTTGAGATTGTTTTCCTTCAGGTCTAATTCCTGGAGACTGACAAGACTGAAAACAGCATGGGGAATACGTTCCAAGTCACAGTGCACCAGCTCTAATTCTGTCAGGTTAGACATTTTTTTCAGGTTGTTGAGCATTACCAGTTTTGTGCCATCATTGTGAATGCACATCTTTAGAAGGTGACTTGAAACATCCACCACAGACTGTGGGACTTTGGACAAATTACTTTTAATGTACAAAACTTTAAGGTTCTTAAGTTCTCGAAAAGACTCCAGAGTTATATTTTTAGAAATATCATGACACAAAGAACCGATTAAGCTCAGCTCTTCCAGATTTCGGAGTCCGTACATCCAAGGAGGAAGCTCTCTGAAATCGTCAAATTTGACATTCAAGACTTTCAGATTTTCCTTCAGAAATGCCAAGGCTGCACTATGGATTTTTGCAGAACATTGGTACAATGAGAGTTCCTGGAGGTTATCCAGTTGCACAATAGTGGCCGGGATCATGACATTATTAATGATTTCGAGTTTTAGTGACTGAAGCTCTGTAATTTCAAAAACTGTGTCAGGGAGTCCAGACAGCATAAATAGTTGCAGCTCCAAACGGTTATGGGAATTCATCTGTAGTCTTTGCCTCAGTTTATCTGCAGTCCACTCATTGTTTAGATTAAGTTGCTTTAGTTTGTTTTCACTGACCTCTGAAAGAAACACAGCAAACCTTTTGGAATAAAGAGGGTCATACTGGTCTATCATATGAAGCATGAAAGCAAAGTCATTTCTGACATCTGGGATGTCATCAATTCCCGTCTCCTGTCGGACATACTCAAAAGAATATTCCTTCAATGAGCGGTAAAACAACCAGTACAAAGTATAAAGGCATGTGAAGCCATAAATACTTACAAAGCACAAGTAACAGAAGGAGAGCTTAGAGAACAAATGTGCCATAGTGTGGTTGCAAGAAAAGTGCTTGTATCCTGTCATGTCTTGAATGTCAACATTGCAGTCTACTGTAAACTGAACTTTTGAAACTAGTGCACTATTATATGCAATGATGATAAGAAACTTAATCACCTTCAACACAGTTTGGCGGACATACATAGCATAGAGCAGATCGCCTTCTTCAACATGGAGTCGGAACTTTTTCACCTTCTCAAACAGTGCTTTGGCCTGTTCTCCTTCTTTCTTGTCCAGTGCCCCAGGTGTTCCCTTATCAACAACAAACTTTTCAGGTATGGATCTCAAAGACTGAGTCTTTACCAGAGTCCCTTCTGCACTGGGCTGGATTGCATTTGATTTGCTGATATTGTTCTTCCTATTGTCCTTTTCTTCAGAGTCTTCTCCCGAAACTTCAGATAAAGCCCGTGTTGTCCAAGGAGAGTCAAAGCACTTCCCCAAAATGGAGATGAAATGTTCAATTTTAGAGCTTGACCCCGGGAACTTGAACCAGAAGTTGCTACACAGCATGAAGATCAAGGTGTGTATAAGGACAAGATAGGGGAAGTACTTTGCATACCAATGCAAGGCACGTTCGTAGCACATCTGGTTTATAAAACTATACTGTTGGAGATCTAAATCAGTCTTTAGACCCTTCATTTCAACAGTAGCAGGAGGTGTGGATGGCTTGGGTGGAAGAAATGAGGCTGCACTGGAGTCCAAGCTTGACACATTAGGAAGGTGGGAACTGTTTTGAGAAGACTGTACTCTTTTTGGAAGGCATATGATCTTATCTTGCATGACCTGAAATGCACAAAAACACATATTTACAATCTATACCATATACTATTCCTGACTTCCAAGAAACATCTCTGTTCAAAGGTCACTAGCTTTGGAATAATGATCATGCCACATCCAGGGCTATCATATGACTTTCACTACCAAGAAGCTTCAGATCAAGTAATCATGGGAATGGACAAGAGAACTAATATCTAAACATTCATTTCTTTAACATATTTATCCACCAGCCATCTCAGTTACAAAGGTTTCTTCTTCTTGCAGGATTGGTCAAAACAAAAAACTATGAGAGCATTAAATACACTCAACATGGCTTTGCTTCCCCAGCAGGCTAGAAAGATTGGTGAAGAAATATATAAATACGACCTCAATGTTAATATTCACCAAAACTGAGATTCACAATTACATTGTGGTTCAGGAAGCACACTTGGGAGTTTATCAGATGTGAAAGACAAATCATAATTATAGAATGACAATTGTATATTTGCCTTGGATGTATCACATGCTTTTCTGTTATTCTCTTGGCAGCAAACAGTCTGGAAAGGAGCCCCCGATGGCGCAATGCGTTAAACCAGTGTTTCTCAACCTTCCTAATGCCATGACCCCTTAATACAGTTCCTCATGTTATGGTGACCCCTAACTATACAATTGTTTTCATTGCTACTTCATAAGTGTAATTTTGCTACTGTTATGAATTCTAATGTAAATATCTGATATGCAGGATGTATTTTCATGCATTGGACCAAATTTGGCACAAATACCCAATACACCCAAATTTGAATACTGGTGGGGGTTTGGGGAGTTTGATTTTATCTTTTAGGAGTTGTAGTTGATGGGATATATTAGGGTTCACCTACAATCAAAGAGCATTCTGAACTCCACCAACGATGGAATTGAACCCAACATGGCACACAGAACTCCCATGACCACCAGAAAATACTGAAAGGGTTTGGTGAGCTCTGGCCTTGAATTTTGGAATTGTAGTTCACCTACATCTAGAGAGCACTGTGGACTCAAACAATGATAGATCTCGACCAAACTTGGCACGAATACGCAATATGCCCAAATGTAAACACAGATGGATTTTGGGGGAAATAGACCTTGACATTTGGGAGTTGTAGTTGCTGTAATTTATAGTTCACCTACAATCAAAGAGCATTCTGAACCCCACCAATGATAGAATTGTCCAAACTTTCCACACAGAACCCTCAGGACCAACAGAAAATACTGTGTTTTCTGATGGTCTTAGGCGACCCCTCTGACACCCTCTCGTGACCCCCACAGGGGTCGTGACCCCCAGGTTGAGAACCACTGCATTAAACCCTCATGCCAGCAGGACTGAAAACTGACAGGTCAGAGTTTCAAATCCAGGGAGAGTGCGGATGAGCTCCCTCTGTCAGCTCCAGCTCCCTCATACAGGGACATGAGAAAAGCCTCCCACAAGGATGGTAAAACATCAAAACATCTGAGTGTCTCCTGGGCAACGTCAATTCTCTCACACCAGAAGCAACTTACAGTTTCTCAAGTCACTCCTGACACGCAAAAAAGTCTGGAAAGTAAGGTTTTTTACACACATAATCCATTAATTATCACCTTTTAATAAAAGAAATGCCTTCCAACCATTTCCCACCAGGGAAGTGATATGAAAAGAGAGATGTCATGTGATAAGTCCAAGGCAGATATTGTTGTCCCACTGTAATTGCGATTTGATCACCTTGTGAGTTATGTTCCTTGATCTGCTCTGATGGAACTGGGATGGGAAAGCAGTATAAAGAAATAATGATACATAGTTGGCTTTTCAACTTATGTTGACTTTTTCACTGTAAGGGATGTTTTGATAAATCCATTCTCCTGCTATTTTTTATATCCAGAATAAATTTGGGACTGTAGATACATATTATGCACATTAGAGCCATTCAAGTGTTCTTCCCTAAGTCATACCCACATGAGACAATTATAATTCAAAAGTCTAGAGGGCAAATAAGTTTGAAACATGGCTCCTTCAATTACTTTAATCTTTTTTTCCATGGAAGCTGACAAGAGGCAACTAGGTTTCCATTTGAAGAGAGAACCTGATGCAGGTTAAATGCCTTCAAATAAACTCAAGTTCCACCACATTCCTCTCTGCAGATGTGCTTCTTTTTCCAAATACTTGCTATAGTTGTGCTATATTCTTCACCTGGACACAGTGGCAAGCTGGGAGAACAATGTAGACTCAGCCCCCTTCCACACAGCTGTATAAAATCCACATTGAACTGGAATATATGGCGGTGTGGACTCAGATAATCCAGTTCAAAACAGATATTGTGAACTATCTGCCTTGATATTCTGAGTTATATGGCTGTGTGAAAGGGCCCTCTCTTATATGCTGCAAATGCTGAGCCATAAACATTTAATGGCATTACAACTTCTTGTTGCCAACCACAACAGTCGGAGGTGTACTACAGTATCCTAGTGGGTTACGAAAGTACGGTTTCTATAAGCATACAGTGAGCCATAAGAACACATTTTCCCTTTTTTTAAAAAAACATTTTTGTGCTTATTTGAAGATGAATTTTGAGTAGTTCCAGGCAATTTCTATTTTGGGCACCTGACTGTAACAGCTCTACTTAGTTTCAGTAGTAAAACTGGACCACCCATCTTCCAAACAGTCCTCTGCTCCACATTGATGGTCATTAAGAGGCCTCACAATCCACCTCTGTTGTGGTACCAAAAGTAGTAGCAATTCCACTCATAGCTATATATATATGACTGTTCAATAGACTTTCCAAGCAAATATGGCCAAGACAAGAGATGCAACCCTTCAAAGGATTATTAAAAACCACACAATGCCTAAATTTTGTTCCCATCAACATACTAGAAAAATGCAGCATGGGGTATCTCTCTACATCAGTGCTTATGCTTCACCAGGATGACTTGAAAAAGTTATTATTCTGATAGAACATTTTCCAGTATCTCCAGTGGACAGGTACTTGATAATTCTGTGAATTGCCCCAAAGAGTAAGTCTTCACAGATCTGAGTATAATTAGTCCCATTTCTTAGTAGTCTACAACCCCAAACGTCGCAGTGTTTGAGGCTATCCAAATGCCTTCAGTTCTCACATGTCTGTTAGGGACTCAAATATTATGCACTGTTCTACCCTCTAAATTAAATATTTAGTACTATTATCAATAACAGTGACATTGCAAGTGATGCATTAGTCTCAGCTACTGGCATTCCTTAAGTCACTGTGGATTAATGCCAACAAAACCACTCTGATTTGCTTAAGAGAAGACATGGTCGGTCATCTAGAAACAGTATTTACAAAATAGCAATAGGCAGGAATGCAAATGTTTGCATTCCCACATGCCATTTCCCTTTGCATCACTCACTTGCCTATTCCAAGTTTGCTTGCTTCAGCAAAATAACTATCTATTGATTTATAGAATTTAATAAGACAATCTTCCATATATACTCTTTTTTTGTGTCAGGAGTGACTTGAGAAAACAGGAAGCCCTTAAAACAGTTGCCTTAGAATTGCCTTACAATTCTAAATTGTCATTGTTTCTGTTGCTGGCTTATAACCCTTTCCCTAATTAAAGATATACTCAATAAATTTTCCCCAGATTTTCCAAAAATCTGTTTCCATATTCCCCTTTTAATTTTAATATTGCGAGTTAGTTTTTCATTAATAGCTATATTCCAGATTTCCCTATACCATTCTTCTAATTGATTTTTTTTTCTTTCCAGTTTTTTTCGCTATTAGCAATTTAGCTGCTGTTATCAAATTAGAAACCAATTCTTTCTCCTCCTGTAAAGGAATTATATTCTCATGTATAAGTAATAATGCTAATTTTGGTGTAATCTCAATCTCTATTTTTATTATTGCTCTTATTTCTTTAAATATGCTTTCCCAAAATTTTTGTATAGTTTTACATGACTACCACATATGAAGGTGCGTCCCTATTTCTTGACAGCCTCTCAATGAGTTGGTTGGTCCTGGTGAAGGGGGCACAAACTAAAGGTAAGGGGAAGAAGGGGGGAAAGGAGTATAATAATAATTATAAAGAAATAAAACATGTATAAGTAGATAAAAGGTGTGTGATACAGTTATATGTAGTATAAGTTGTAATGGAAATTGAAAAATAATGATAAGAAATATGCTTTAATTTTTTATTTTACTGTTAGATTGTATATAATATGACATACTCTTTTGTCTAAGATATTGTAAAAAGAGGAAAGAATATATGCTTATACATTTTGTTTGACAAATTTATATATATATTTTAAAGAAATGCTTTGTTGAAGGGAGGCATTACACGCTTCCATTACTCATCTAACTAGTTTTCTCTGGCCTCTTTGATAAGCTAGGAACCAGATGGATAATGTAGTAACTTTCAGTTCTTCAAGATTGGCAAACTGTGGCCCCTTCCACACAGCTGAATAAAATCCCACATTTTCTGCTTTGAACTGGAATATATCATCATCATCATTTTATTACTTATTAATCGCCCTCCATCCAAGATGCTCTAGGCGATTTACAAGCTAAATTGTAAAGGATAAAAATACACACATACAGATATTGATAAAATTAACATAGATCAAAAGCTCTAGTAAAAAGCCAGGTCTTAAGTGCTAGGGTAAAAGGCCCTAAATCACACATGGCAGTGTGGACTCAGATAACCCAATTCAAAGCAAATATTGTGGGATTTTCTGCATTGATATGCTGGGATATAGGGCTGTGTGGAAGGGCCCTGAGTAATAAGTTGCTCAGACTGAAGTGTCAGAAGTAGGTGGGTTGTATTGGTTGTTTCTGACATTATACTTGCAATGACACCATCTTCAAAACTGTACTCCTGAAGTACAGCAGAAATCAAGCCAATAAGCATTCTTCATATGTCAAATTTCTATGAGAAAGCCAAAGGCACGTGGCTCCCTTTGCCAGAATTCCTAGTTCAAGGCCATCAGTACCTTAGTTCAAGGCTCACTCTGCTACTGTTTTCTACTCTCACTTGGTCAGTCTACTGTTTTCCTCCAGTATTTTCTTCACAAATAGAAGCTGAATCATATCTTATAGTAAGACTGAGATGAAACTAAAACATGAACAAGGTGGCAACACAAGCAATAGGCTTGTGGCCAAGAATAAATTATTACAGACTCAAGAATGTCAGGCTTGTATTGAGGCTGCCAATTCAGAAGAAGACAGAAAGGCCCTCTGAATATAGTATTTGTGAAGGCAGGGGGAGAATAAGAACTGCTTAGTGCCATATATAGCGTTCAGATGCTGTTTACAGAGCACAAAATAGAAATAATTTGTTATGTTCCAGATTTTTCTGCTTTCTTATTTTTACCCCACAAAAGCTGATATTTGCAGGATAAGAGGTTGAATTTCTAAATATGTAGAGAAGTATGACTTCCATCTAGGCATATAGAAAAGCTGTCAATTCTAACTATTGGTAAAAGCTAACTAATACAGCCTGTTCCTGAATTCAGGACTGACTAAAGAACCAATTGTCTTGTTTATGGAAGTTAAGATGACTTTCTGGAGATGACATCTTGAGAAGACTTGCACCTGATGGCCATGTGATTTTCTCTTATGCATCTGTCTACACCAGGGGTCCCCAAACTAAGGCCCGGGGGCTGGATACGGCCCTCCAAGGACATTTACCTGGCCCTCGCTCAGAGTCAACCTAAGCCTGAAACAACTTGAAAGCACACAGCAACAAGGACAATAACAACAATCCTATCTCATCAGCCAAAAGCAGGCCCACACTTCCTATTTAAATACTAATAAATTTATATTTGTTAAAATTGTTCTTCATTTTAATTACAGTATTGTTTTAAGTGTTTTCGCACTTCAAATAAGATATGTGCAGTATGCATAGGAATTCATTTGTGTTTTTTTTCACATTATAATCTGGCCCTCCAACAGTTTGAGAGACTGTGCTAGCCCTCTGTTTAAAAAGTTTGAGGACCCCTGGTCTACACTGTCATAAATTCTGTCTTGGAAATAAATTTCTCTTTCAGTCATAAAATAGGGATTCTTTTTTTAAAAAACTGCCCATCTGGCTGCTTAAATATGTCTGCTGGGAAATCTAAAGTATTTCCTGGAGTCCCTTACTCAGAGATATCTGCCTTTAGATTGCATTCCTTTTTGTTTACCTGCAATGTGCAACCAAACACACCAATCATGAGCATGGCAACCGACAGATAGTCCGTGAAAACATCCCACCATGGCTTCAGGACCCGGAAGGCTGGCTGCTGCTCGGTGAACTGGCGGAATTCGGTGACAGGAATCATTGTTCTGAAAGACAGTGAAAGGAAAGGGTATGTGAGAGAGACAAATGGCTAGGATGTTTGTTTGTTTAAGGAGTTTATCATGCCAGCTTGCTGTCTCGCCAGAATTGTGTTGGTAAAGAGAACGAAAACATCAGAGGAACAACCATTTCCATTCCCTGCCTGTCTCTTCTAACACTATGTAACACGATTTTTGTTCCTTGGATATAAACCTCATTTCCTAATTGGTTTGATCATAAAAACATGGGAAAGGTTTATTAAACTGCAAAAACTTTGCTTTTTCAGGACATCCTGCAGCACATTTCACTATAGTTTTTCAATGAATATCTCGAGTCTCAGCTAATTCAACATAGTTTGTGGTAGCCACAAAAATGAAGTTTCTGGAGTATAACAACTACTTTCAATGTAAGTACTGTACAATTCAACAGGAAATAACATTTTCAAACCAGGAACAGAAAAAATGCAGATTTTGTCACATAGTGTAATCTATTGAGGCTCATAAGGAGTACTTTTATATGTATCATGCCACTTGCAAGACAACATTGGCAGACAATGTATTGATCCATTACATTACTCTGTTACATTTCCTCCAACGAGCAGAATGTGGTCCTCTTCTGAGTTTTGACTCTAACAACAAATTTACGAGTAATCTTAGACTGAGAAATAGGAACTGAATCAAGGTCACACAGGATTGATTGGGAAACAGAATAATATTCAGCCAAAGGAATGTGTACAAAGGAAATTGAAAGGACAAACAGACAGATCAGATTTAATTTCTATTAAAAATCAAGAGATATGCCTTGGAGCAAAGAGAGGAGGCATGGGGCAAGCCAAAGGAACCAATCCTGAACATCCTCTGATAGCATATGTGGTGATCCTGTATCTGTCCAGACGTATCTCTCCTTGGTACCCCACAGCAGCTGTCTAATCAAGTGATACACTGGAAATAAAATGAGTATTCATCCAGTTAGCTGCAAATAATGATACCTGGGGAAGAAGTGTCAAAGAGCACATTTGCACTGACCACGTAATTTAAAGGGGCCCTAGATCCGTACCTTGATCTCCAAATGCCACATCGAGCTGATTTGGGGTAACACAAGGCAAGGCTACCTTAACACAGCCTTGAACTAGATTAGAGACATTTAAGTGCACACTTCATACTGCACACTTAAACAAGAATAACACTTTCAAAACAGGAACAACAACCATTTCAAATGTTATTACACGGTTTAAGTCCAATTGTGCTTCTGCTTTCCAATCCCATCTGAACATAACTTACCTCATTCTGAAATGGCTTGAATATCCAACCCAATTCAACCAAGCTTCTAATCCATATTGGGAATCCCAAGTTCCGCCCATTTTAGGGTCCAATCTACCTTACAAGAGCTACGTGTTTACTGCATTTCCATGGTTTCCTCCTAGTATCCTGCTAGAACTTAAATCCAGTTCCTCACCACCATACTTTGATATACCACATAAATTAACTCTAATTTGCAGACTAAAGAAGGAGGTCTAGAAAAATGCAGCATCAATTCAAGCCTCATAATCCCCACCATCTCCTTTGAGAGGAAGTTACTATATAAATCAAGAGTTCACATAAAGTTTAGATTCTAAACCAAGATAATAAATAAAAGTTATAGGTTTCCTCTCTAAAAACTGTCCCTGGCTTTTGTACTGAGCTTTTTATTTTCTTCTTCAAGCTGTAAAGTTATGATCATTTCCGTGTAGAATTCAAACAAAGTTAATAATATCACTAGCATAGACACGGCTAACTTTTTCTCTCTTGAGGACCAATTTGTACTGGTCTAATCTCTCAGGAACTGCATTTCAACAAGATTGAAGATACTGGGATATGGGACAAGAGCCAGATATTCTATGGATATCCCTCTTAATAATTTAAACGACTGTGAAACACTGGTGATTCTAGGTCAAGTGATGAAATCCAGGCTTCAGACATCATCAGCTGATCAAGGAGATCATTCTAAAATGCAGATTCTCCAGCTTTTGTTACCTTGTGCAAAAAATCTGGGCTGAGTGCTTATTAGTGCTTAATCAGCCAAGTCCTCAAGCAGAAAGGTCACATAATTTTGTCTACCTGCATTAAAATTCACAAGGAAGTTATTTGGAAAGGAAAACAAATGATGAACACCACAGAAAGAACAACAACAAAAAATTCATTGAAAGATCATTTTCTGTTCCAAACAAATTTTGACTGTATTTATTTATCATGTCAGAAGTCAATTGAAGGAACAGTTGTAATGCATTTAAAAACACAAACAGTTAAAAACTTGGCCTTATACGAACTATCCTTTGACCACTCACTGGCCACGTAGAGTGCCTCTGGTGTTGCTATAAGAAGGTCCTCCTTTGTGCATGTGGCAGGGCTCAAACTGCATTGTGATTTGCTCTTCTCCACACTTGTGTATCGTGGACTCCACTTTGTAGCCTCATTTCTTAAGGTTGGCTCTGCATCTCGTGGTGCCAGAGCAAAGTTTGCTCAGCACCTTCCAAGTTGCCCAGTTTTCTGTGTGCCCATGAGGGAGTCTCTCATTTGGAGACATGAGAGACTCCCTGCAGGATCATAACACATCTGGCCATCTTCTGTGCAACGTCTTTGTAGACAGCTGATTCTCTCAAGCCAGAAGCAACTTGCAACATGCAACCAACTTGCTAACTAACTGTGAAGTACAGAGAATATGAAAAGGAGTTTCTTTACTATAGACTCTCTGGCCCCGTCTATACTGCTAGAGAAAATCCAGAGAATCTGCTTTGAAGAGGTTTAGATGGCAGTGTAGAAGGGGCCACTTATATGCTTTTGGGATAAGAGAACATCTCAGAAGTAACCACAGCAGTCCTGACTGAGAAAGGTTTTCCTGGAATTCAAGAGTGTGTCTGCACTAAAGAATTAATGTTGCTTGACACCCCTTTAATTGTAATGGCTCAATACTAGGCATGGGCAAACTTCACCCTCCAAGTGTTTTGGACTTCATCTTCCACAATTTCTAACAGTCGATAAACTGGTTGAGATTTCGGGAGTTGAAATCCAAAACACCTGGAGATCCTAACTTTGCTCATGCCTGCTCAATACTATGAATCATGGTAGTTGTAGTTTAACAAGTTATATCTTCTCAGTTTAACTATAGCTTCCATGATTCTATAGCATTAGCCATGGGAGTTAAAGTGGTGTCAAACTTCATTAATTCTACAGTTTATTACATGCACTTTATTTTTATTATTGCTACTCTGTTCAGATGGCGCTTCCAGACAGGCCCAAAATCCACACCAAAGCGGGTTCTTAAAAACCTGGGCTTTCTCGGGGGGAGGGGGGGGGCTACATGCCATCCAGATTACAATCAGGAAGGCATGCAGACCAGACACCCTGAAGCCCCCTGAAATTTCTCCTGAAAATAAAATAAAACTTACCTGGCCACTATAACATTCCTCCTCACACCAGGAGAGCACAAGGAAATGATGCGCCATCTGGTCTCGTGGGGCGTTATTTCCTCATGCCAGGAGGACAAGGAATGTTATGGCAGCCAGATAGACTTATTTCATTTTTAGGGGTAAATTTGTGTTTGGGGGGAGGGATGGGTGCCCTTTTGGTTTTTCGGGCTCTTGGAGACCAAAAAACAAGATGGCTGTGTGGATTGAACTCAAGAATTGCATAACACTTTTGGTGCCTGTCTGGATGGGCCCTGAGAAAATGTGACTTGCCCAAGGGTATCCAGTGGGTTTTGTGGCAGGGCAAGGATTCAAAACCTGATATCCAGACTCATAGATCACTACACCACTTATCAAAGAGAAAATCCATAATGAAGGCTGGTATAACAGGGATAGAATTATCATTTCAATGCAGGGTAGTATTTTCCTAGTTGTAGCCTACATTTCTTTAAGTTTATGTGCTTTACATTTTTGGCTATGAGAGAAAAATCCTTTCTTTTTTTACAACTTCTAGAATTCTCCAGCCAGCCGAGTTGGTCTTGGGAAAGTTCCACTGTTAAAAACAAGTGAAATGCAATTTAAAATAAATGATAAAACAAGTCAGTGAAGCATATTAAACAACTCCATCAGAAATGGGTGCTTATAAACATTGCAGTCACCTCATCACTTTTAGGTTCCTTTTGCCAGTGTTTCTTTTACTTTATATTTATCTAAAATCAGTAGCATCCTTAGTCTCAACAGAGACAGCAATTTTATTACCAAACAGCTACTGCGGGGATGGCAAAGAAACAGAGCATTCATCTCTCTTTCATCATTCCTTTTGTCCTGTGGAACATGAGGAACTTTATTTAGGAGTTGCGGCATTATGAAAGTTGAGAGACACTGACTTAGGGCAACCCTAAGTTTAGGTTGAGGGCCAGGCAAATTACCTTGGAGGTCCACATCCAGCCCATGGACCTTAGTTTGGGGTCCTCTGCTCTGTGAGATTCATGGAGTTTCCAAGACACCCATCAACTGGAAGGCACAAAAAGTTCCCTTCCTGAAAACTGCCTCGAGCTTTCATGGAAAAAACACAACCCCATCTCACCCCACTGAGCAAACAGAAGCAATAACCAATTTAATGTTTCCTAAACAAATTAAGAGGGAAATAAGATAATGAGAATGGGACAGGCTACTTTGGTGGATGCCAAGAAAAGAGGCTACAGAGAATTAATTCAAATCATGTTTCTAGTATCACTGTATCTTTCAATTCTGAGTTTTTTCCCTTCATCTCCATAACAAAAACAAAGCAGTAAATAGCAAGGAAGCATTAAAGTGTTTTTACCAAGGGAGATTAAAGTTTACGTCAGAGTTTGGAGGCACAGATGGCCTGCATTCCAGGATATGAGGCAAATTAATTTATTAATCTACTGACCAGTGAAAACCTGTGGGAATGATAGCTGAGATAGGATTTGGAACTGGTTTGGTTCCATTCTACAACGCCCTTCAAGTAGATCATAATTGTTCTGGGAAGAAGATGGATACGGGATAAGGATATTAGTTAGACCAAAATAAAACACTGGGAAT